TATCAAACCAACATACCTGTCAGCACATTTGTGTGTATGTCGCATCATCATTAAAGAATGATAGTTGAGTCCAACGCAGTTTCATCATTCCAGATCCTAAAGGAACTAGTATCAGAAATTTCAGAGAGTAAGTGAAGCTATCGTGACAAAGTTGGTTACAATTTGTCCAATTTTTCATAAATTCAAAGGTCAATAAAATGTAATAATGACGTTGATACTCATCATTCTATAAACTGTTCCCATTGCAATCTATATTATATTTTTAGGCAATAGTTACCTGCTTTACACGGAGAGTAGCTACACAAATATTTTGGGCATATAACATGCAGAGATCAAGGAAATGGATATGGTAGAGGAAAATAAAACCAAATTATAGAAGTTTTGGATGTAAATACAGACATACCATGGCATCATTGATTGCATAAGCTGCGGAATGATACTCCTGAAAATCAGCATTTTGAACAAAATCAATACTGATAATTATCAGAAAATTGCGTAACAGACAATTGGCATTAGTCATTCCACAACCACATCTCCATCTGAGGATGGCAAGCCAGGATTAAGAACCCTTGAGTTGCTGCCATGAGAGAAATAGTTTATTGGGTCATCCATGTGCTGGATGCTGGTATGGTATTAATGTTCCATACTTCCATGTACTTTTAGAATTTTTTACTTTTCATTTACCTGCATCATATGCCACTCTTCAAAGTCATCGAACAATTCCAACCTCTCATTTCTGACCACATCAGAATATGACAAATATGACCATTTTCGAAAAGAAGTGGCAAATGTCGCAATGTGAACTAGATAAGAAAGTTAGGGAAAAAAAAAAAAGTAAGTGAGCAAACAAGTGTGGAGGAATTTCCCTTTATATCTGCACAAAAACCTTAAAAAGGAAGACTGTGAAAAGACAGGGAGCAGGGGATATAAAGCAGCATTCGCAGAGCAGCAAATCCAGCCTAACAAAAAATAGGCATTGAGCATATAAACTTCCAATTTAAAAATTTTATTTCATTACTTTTCATCTTCAGCTGAAGATTAAATAATAATTCTAATTTGAAGTCATACACACCTGACAACTCCTTTTGAATTCTACATATAAACTTGCAATGGTAAACAATCAGTGACTAGATGGTCTCATCAGCAAGTTTATACCTCAAGTCCCTAACTTAATGTGACTGAGGTCTGAGCATTCAAGTGTGTTGTGCAAATGCATTCTAGTGTGATTTTCAACATTAATCAGTAATTATCCTAAAATTATTTCATCTTTCCAGTATTTCATCAAATGAATTTTCAGTCCAAGAACCTCCATAGTTGCCCACTTTAATCATTAAGAATCAGATACAGAGAAAAGACCACATAAGCAGCAGACATTTTGGTTTTAGAAGCTAGGGAAACATATTATTTTTCTTAATGTATGTTTATGAATATTCATAATCTTAGTTTCTAAAATGCAGTAAAGGATAAAACAAATGAAATATATATATATATATATATATAAATGATTTCAAAATTAAAGCAGCCATATCTTTGCCTCTCAGTAGCATCAATAAATATAACGTAAACTCCTAGCATGTCCCAGACAACAGTTCTCTGATACCTCAGAAAATATTATAGAAGTATGAAAGAAAAAAAGAGAGGATCAATGAAATCAAATAAAATATTTAACAGAACGGGGAAAAAAATTGCTGAACATAGTAACCCTCACAAAGAAATTGTAAATGTAGGCAGGCTGATTCCAATATCAGAATTTAGAAGGAAGCTTCATCATTTTCGTGTGGAAGGAAATAACTGGATCCACTAAGAAAATGCAGAGTAAAAGCATAGAGAATCTGGAAAACATAAAATACCAAACAAAGTGCAGCTTTGCTGGAGTGGGTTTCCCTCTTTGAAATATGGAAAATTGGACAGAGAAAAGGAAATGGTGATTTAATTAAACCTCTAAAAGAATATGAAATAAACCACCAACAAAAATTCACCTGAATATTGGAAAAGGAAGAATTGACCAATAAGTGGGATCAATGTTAGCCAAACATAGGACAGCATCCAATTTCTGTATGTTGCACAAATCAGCTGGTAGTAGCTCTTAAAGATCACTGAGAACTTCCTTGTTCTCTGAAAAATAGGCACCAAAATTAGCAGAAATAGACTTTGAAATAGAAGATGCAACACCAGTACTTCTTCAAAAGTTCATTACACAGATGAGCATGGAGCAATTACAATTTTCATGGTGACATTGTAAAAACATGCCACCATGACCTCAAGATATCTCCTAATAATAAAAAAATGATCCCCAATCAAGAAAAAAGTCTACACATATTGACAAAAAGAAACAAACACAAACCAAATATGATAATTATTTACAGAAAAGTTGTTGAAAGTCTACCTTCCCGCATTGTGTTTTACATTGCATCATAAATGCTTAAGGCCTATGTAATGTACCTTGGAGTAAACAAAATCATGTCAATTGTATCGTTTGCCAGCCCCAGTAAAGGAAAACAACATACAGAGACTTAAGAAGAGAAGCTAGCTATCATGTATGTGAAACATGAGGGAGGCATGGCAATGAGCCAATGACAAGTAGTACCCTGCTTTGGGCTGTTGTACCAACTTTGTCTCTCAATTGACTGCATGATTCAATCAGGGAGGCCATTTTACTAGTTACCTGGCATAAAAATTTTCTTTGAGAGAGGATAGGCTAACAAACATATCTTAACTTTCTCATATTCAACCTAATAAAGTAAAATACTTCAAACTGCAGACATCATTTCATTGATATTCAACAGCTCCCTAGAGCTGCACTGAAGAAAAGTTGATTGATACAATATTAACACAAATTGCTCCATCTACAATGTGAAGCTAACCTTGTCCCATAACTCCATGGATACTCATTATAGAAAATATAAGGTAGTTTCTTCTCATCTTGTCTACAAAAATAAATTTAAAATAAATAAAAAAAACCATCAAACATTATGGTTTTCTGGCTTCAAATTGACTAAATCAGAGTTTATAAATTATGAAAAAATTCTTAGCAAGAGTATGCATAGAGGTTAAAGATTCATATAAAAAAGGGATGCATCACAATTAATATTAAGAATGTCTGATAGCAAACAACTAAAGACTTCTATGTTTTTATGTAAAGAAGGGGCAATGAGACAGAAACATCTATCACTACCATGGGTTTATCCCACCATACAAGAAAACTCAGGAACCTACTACTGAAAATATGGTGTATCAGATTCAGCTCCAAGAGATAATATCTACTTCTTCCTGTAATTTTTTCCTTGTTATTTTCTTCACAATCAAGGAACTGATAAAGAAGTTTCGGAAGAGCAGCCCAATGAACAAAGTAACCTCAACAAATGCAAAGGAAAGAAGAAGAAGATACCACTGTTGGTTATTGGAGATCTCTTCACAGGTTTTCTAACAAATAAATGGATATATTCATATTTCATGTATCTCTTTTTAACACAGGACCTTCCAAGAAAGAAAGCCTACTGTTAATATCTCACTAAAACCACAACAGCATCGTTTATGTTGCACAAACAATAATTAATGATAAATATGGAAAGATCAAGATCTCTATAGCCTGGTTCCAAAGAACCGTAAGTCTTCTCTCAAGATCCGTAAAGCTTCTTCTTAACACACTGAAGCAAATGCTCAATTAAGTTCATATTCTTCAAGTTTAATCAACGTAAGCAGAATTGTCTCGCCGTTTTTGCCTCAAATCAAGATACGGACATTTTCATCTGAAAAAAAAATGGAAAATCTAAACGAAACATGAATCTAAGTATGGAAAGAAAAGAGGACGCAGAGTTTACTGGCGGTGGCGTCGTCGTTTGTGGCTTGAACTGCCGCCGTGTCGCTACATGAAGCAGCGGCGGACTT